ATATACTATTATCTAATTAAAGTAATATTATCTAAAATAATATTATCCTAAAACAATCTTCCCAAAGTGGCAAAGTAAATATCAAAATTCAAAATCATAACCAAACAATATATTACGTAAAAACACTTAATGAAAATAAAATAAAATACCATCAATCTAGAACAGGAAATTCAAAATTAAATTCTAAACAGACAAATTCACACAGTGCAACGAAACAGAAACGCCCGCCCACGTCCACCTACACTGCATACACTACACACAACAAAACACAGAATGGTGCCCCAGAGTTCACTGGACACAAACACACACCTAACACTGCAAACACTTCTAAGCCTACTAAATAACACCGAAAGTTTCAAAGCCTAAGGTATAATTCTTATTAAAGATGCCCTCATACTTCGCATATGATCCCATATAACCATATAGTAGTAACTCAGAAAATACAAAAACAAAACATAAAAGAAAACAAGTACCAACTAAACCATACCGTGGTTCATCCCCGACCATTTCATTCCAAATTCCGACTTAAAACTTCATCCAATTTTAAGTATGCAACCGTAACGCTTTTCGTCAAATTCCCCTGAATCGTGATCCCGTGTTATACGCAGGGTACAGGCGTGTGTGTCCTGCCATACTGCATAAACTACCAATAATACGGAATGAGTTCACCGGACACAACACTACGAACACTTCTAAGGCCACTAAATCACACCCAAACCTTCTAAGCCTTTGGTATAATTCTTATCGACTCTGACCTTCTAGTTTGCATATATAACTAGGTAGTGCTATCTTAGAAAATATATAATCAAGCACAAAAAATAAACAAAACAACTACTAACTTCAAATATACAAAAACAGTACACAAATATAAACATAAAAGTACCAACTAAACCATTCCATAGTTCATCCCCGACCTCTTCTAGCAAATTTCCCGATTAAAAAATCATACAATTCTATTTATGCAATCCTAACGCTTTTCGTCAATTTCAACTGACACTTGGTCTGGTCCCGTGGTACACGCGTGTGTGTGTCGTTGGTAGTGTCCTATTTTTGCCAGCGTCATGGTAACTGATCCGTTAAGGTGTGAAGTTTCGCTGTCAACACTGGGATAATTAGCTGTACCAATTAAGGGTAATTATGTGAATGCAATCAACTGAGACAAGTACAGATGTATAGCTCTATTGGTTCCTATATCCATACCGGTAATATGAAATAACGGGCACGAGAAGAGCTGACAAGTGTACCAACGATTTACTAGTGGATATCATCCACTCTCATGATAAGTTATTTGGTACTTTGCCTGAGCTGTTCTTCTCCTTCGGGATAAGACCAGTGTCACACACCATCCGGTAAGCTCATTGTCAAAATTGGGACAACTGGTAGATCAATTACAGAAGTGTGAAATTACATTGTCAAAATTGGGACTGTCAAAATCGGGAGTAAACCGTCTCGTTGCACACGCGTGTGACTTGGGACACACACGCGCTGCACACGCGTTGTTTGTAAATTATCGAGTCTGGGCCAGACAATCCAGTGATCACAGTATGAGCATCGATCTGCGCAATTTGGAACTGGTGACATGTGTTAAGTAAGCCAGCGAGCCTGACCACCCGATCCCGTTAGTCACCTCTTACGACAAGAAGGGTTACTGAAGGCTCTTTATAACCCGGACCTTCAAGGGTCTTAGAAAGTAAAATTAATGTGAACTTGTATAGGGAGAACCTTTATGAACTAATAATAGTCATATAAGTAATATCATGGCATCAAAAGAAATTGTTCAAAGATGGAGCAGCATGTTTTCGGGTCTGGAGATGTCAAACAATCAGAAAGATCATTTGTGAAGATCTGCACTTGATAAATACGTCTGAAGTAGCATACTGACTGAAAGAGTAGGAACAACAATGAGCTTCCGGTTGATGGAACTGAAATCACCACATAGAAAACTAGTAGGGTACGTTTATTGTCGAGTGTTGGTATCATAACGGTATTGTGTTCATTTTGAACTGTACACGCCATAGGTAAATCTAACGCTACTGTCTGATACTTTCTTAAATGGTTATTAAGGGAATGAAAATATCTTTCTGAAGAGTTCCGATGATAAAATCTACAGCAATACATTCAGGGTCCAACATTCGACAACCAGGTCGATAACATGGACAGGAAAGTAGGAAGACCCAGCATATGTTCTGTAGACCTTTGGTTGGCATCTGTCGAAAAATCAAGTTCAACATATCAGGTGTTAGGTTGAAGATCTTTAACAGTTCGGGTGTATAGTCAAGTGTGCATACCGAAGTACAAGCTATAACCTTGTTTCTGGGCTTCTGGTCCAATTACGGTCAGAAATATACTCACTCAATGTTAAGTTAAATTTGCTCTCTGAAACCAACATTGCTGGTGATAATGAGTGGGGAACTGAAAGAAGCTCTCGTAAAATATATTGTCTCATCAACGTACACTGAAAGTAGACGAGTGATTGGCTGTAGGTGGATAACTCTGCTGCCTGTTTACTGTGACTAGATCTCTGGTTGCACTTGTACCACCTGTTGACTTTAACAACTATTTGCTAGTTGTCAGTTGATCTTGTGACATTTTGTGATATTCTAACATGTATGTGTACCCATATTTGACTTAACTACTGTGCAGGTTGGGAATATATTTGGTAACTTCAGACAGTTTGACATGTATGTATTTCATTTTGTATAGCGCCAGTATCCAGCTCAGCTGCTCAAAGGCGCTTTGATTTTCTCTCGATCATTGGATGTCAAACTCAGATGGCACACCGTATTATCAATATCAACTCCCTGAGGAACATGTCTGTCTGTCTGTGTCAGGGTATATGTGTGCATGTGGGTGACTGTGTGTGCGTCTCTGTAGGTTTGTGTCTGTGTGTACGTGTCTGTTGATGGGTGGATGGAAGCACACATAATGAACATGTATATGTTCAAGATCCGTGAGTGACACCAGGGATCGATTTATTACTTTGCACATGCTATAAACATAGTAATCGAAGACGACATATACGTAAAATAACTTCCACATAACAGTTATGTTTGAAATCAATGCACTATATGCAATATGCAGTGCTGTTTTAATTGGTTTAGGTGGCATATGAGTTGTATTGCTTGGTACATCCCCATCCTTAATCGTAACGCATTAAGGAAAAGCTTTGTTGTATCATTAATTGTCAGCTCTTCAGAATCAAATCAGACTCTGAGATAAGTAGCACTCTGCCAAGTGTACAGACGTAAAACATTATGACAACTAGAAAGCCGGTGAAACAGAAACAACTGATAAATACTCAGTGCATTGTCAATACTCCTTTTTGTCAATAGGTTTTCACCTGATTGGGTACTACTACTTTAATAGAAGTTATAACCCGTTCCGATGGCTGTCTTTATTTCCAAGGCACATTCCAAATAACAAGCTTTTGCATTTACTGAAGTCATTGTAGAATTTAATATTTCAATAGAAATGAGAAACCGTCCAATGACTTTGTTTACTTTAGAGACACCGTCCAATTAAGAGTTTGCAGTGGAACTGACATTATTTCATTGACTTGCTGTAGTTCTCAACACTGAGTTTCTTTCTATTTATAATTTATTAAATGCTTCACTAAATGACCTTTGGGTGATAAACACAAGAAGACGCTTAGATCACATAAATAGATTGCTTGCAAATTGGCGAAAAAAGGAATTTGACTTTAACTGGGAAAATCACTGTCATTAAAACCCTAGCTAGTTCAACTTTAGTACACATATTTTCCGCACTTCCTAACCCGCCCAAAACGTTTATTAAATCTTCAAATTCTTTGGAGTGATAGAAATGACAAAATTAAAGGAAAACCCATTATCATTAAGGTGGCCTCAGAATGACAGACCTAGATTCGTTTATCAATGCCATGATATTATGACCATTAAAACGCTTTATAAAGAGGAATAAAAGCCTTAATAACATCTTTCCTGCAAGACATTTGTTAGCTCTGGGCTCACATGCGGTTGATTGCTTATCTGTGTCAGACAACCCTTTTTGGAGAGATTTTCTTTTGGCCTGGGGGAAATTTTATAGAAAACACAATCTAGAGTTTGAATTTATAAACTAAATCATGGTACATTTTCTGTTGTTAAATCATCACTTTAAATCCTTATATATAATAAAGAATTGGTTTGATCGTGGTCTAAACAATATCGGAGATATATGTTGTGAATGTGGCATTCTCAGCTTTCGGTGAGTCAGTGAGCGACTAAATATTTAACGTCACATCGGCAATACTTTACAGCCATACCGTGACGAGAACATATTTTACATTGAAATGGAAAATGTGTTTATCATAAAACAACTAGAATATCACAATTTGAATTAAAACTAGTGTGTAAAGTTAAAATTAATAGCACTATAAGGACAATACCAGATAAAAGTAGGCTATATATCACCAAAAACTGAAGGGAGATCATCATACTAAGGACCATGGGGACTTAGAGTACCTGTGCTACTTGCATGGACCCTAGCTGGATTTACATCATCCCTACAGCCATTGGCGTTTATGCTGAGATTTAGCCAAACATTAAAATGACAAAAATACTACGAATAAAAACCTGGTAGACTTAAATTTACTTGAAATGTGTTGGGACTTACGTACCCTCTCAGGAGGACAATAATTTTACGATACTTTAATCCCCTTTCAGGGTACAGCCACTAACAATCTCAATTACTAATCTAAATTACCAATCATTCAATTGCAACTTTCTACAGAACATATTTTTCAAAACCCGTCTATTAAATCAATTTCTTTTAAAAAGCCAATAACTAAATGAAAAATAACAGTGTTAAAAAGATCCTTAACTGTTTTCACATTGCAATACTTATCCCTTATGATGGAGCAGGAGATGTTTGACTGTCACTCTCTCACATCACAAGGGATACAAAACGGAGGATCTTCAAGTATTTGTGAGTATACCTTGTATGGCCAGTGCGACAAAGTCATCACTTGAAATCAGCACATCTCATAGCCAATGTGGAAACTCCGCAGTGCCTTCAACATTTACACGTCGGACATCAATGAACGGGAGACGCATCTGGTTGGTCATCCACAGAGTTCCGTCGACATAGGTCTGAAAAGAGAAATTAATAAAACCCAAATGCCAAACACAAGTGAGATGTGTGCTATATGTTTAATTGTCTGAAAGACATCGTGCAACTTTCTTGCCAGCAAAAATGAAAGCGTTTATCTTGGTCTTTTTTTCTGGACCAAGTCAGTCATTGTTATCAATCACCATACATATCTTAGATTTCACCTTAAAGTTGTGTGCGTTGCATACCTCGAAGGTAGACTGACTGATGTGGATTTCAATACTGTAGCTGCTGATGTTGTTCACTGACAGACCATACAGTCTTTCCTCTGCTCCATATACTCCACCGTGCCAGGTGTTGAAGATGGCTACAGTTGGGGTAGTGCCCCATCTCAAAGAAAACACATACACGATGTCCTCGGTCAGGGTTACCATCCAGACACCGTTGCTGTGACAAACGACATGTATATGTATTTATGCAGATGCACTGGTAAAAGAATATCATAAATGTTATATAGCGACACTGTGAAACGGTATTGGAGTTTATTCATATCTGACATTATTTGTCAAGGATTTGGTTGTCCTCATTATATTAAGGTTACCCTGAATAAACGCCACATCCAATTTGGTTGAGGAGATTTCGTCATCATATTCATGATATGGGCCCTTCTGCCACCTATTCACGATTGTATATGCCATTAAACAGAACTATATATGTGCTGCAAATATATTGCTAAAATATTCGGTGCAAAACAAATCTGCTACAGTGTAGAAAACAGGTTATTTTACGGTGGAGTTGTGTCTCCTGCCACTTCCATCTTCAGCTTCATCCCTGCGGCAAGGTTAAAGGTCAATTCTTGTGTATGTGCCGCGTATGGATACTGTTTGAAAAAAAGTAACAAACTGTTTCATTTACAAATTTATGTTTATACTCAAGTGTATACTCACAGTAATAAACCTGTGAACATATACCATAACCATTTGCTTCTTAGATATATGGTCTTATTTCACTCTTTTGTTAACACTTTGATTAGTACTCAGTCTTGCCCTGTATGTTACCATTCCAAATATCAATGTATTCATTACAGATTATCGTCAACCTACCGCGTACTGTTGTGGTAGGCCTGTGTAACATGACACACACTTGACTGGCACCACTTCCCATGATGCACCAACATAACATGAAGATGTGTTGTCGTCGGAGGCAATGATGTTCGAGTTGCAGACATCTTTGGGGGCAGTGTTGATGACCTCAACATCTGCGTGTGCATTGTCAAGTCTAAAGTTGACACAGGTAGATGGGGACGAAACAGAAACATTAAGGTCACCAACCCAGGCATCTGGGTTTACTGGAATTAAATTTTCTTGTTACGTGTGTGTAGCTGTGCAGTCCCAACTTCAGGTAAATGGAATACAAAATAAAACGTCTCAAGACAACATAAACAGGGACATATTTTTTTAAGTCTGATGTCAAAACGTTACACAATCCAGAACGTTACCTGTGTCATGTATTAGCTTATTGTAACCCAGGCCACACTGTTGTATACATTATATCACTCATAACAAATATGGGTTTGACATAGAAAAATAAATTCATATATTTTCACCAGTCATACTTAAATTGAACTAACCACGATAATCAAAAATGGAATCAGCTCATCGACTTGAAACTTAAGGACACTTCGTGTAGTAGGTAGCAAACTCCCTGTTCTTCATTAAAAAAACACTCATCTGCAGAACAGTTAGCAACAATTTCTCAAAAATATGAGAATACCCGCAAAACATTTGATTCACTTGAAGACAGCAGCGATGCAAGGACAGAACATAATGTGCCTGACCCTCCTGTTTTGGCACCACTGTCTGAATTCACACCAACTTGTGAAGAAACAGATCAGAAAGTTCTAATGAAGAGTCTGACGAAATCATGCACCCTTGATTCCTGCCCACTTGGCTTCTGAAACAGTGTCAAGATGCTGTTGCACCCATTCTCACTACCATCACGAATAAACAACTAAGAGAACAGATGCTTCCATTTGTGCGTCAAGAAGCATTGTTAACGCCCCTCTTGAAAAAGCCAACGCTTCATCAACATATTCTTCCAGATTATTGGTCTTTATCTCTAAAATAACCGAAAGAGTGAACAACAAGTCCTACAGTCAGCCTCCAAGTCAGGCCACAGCGCGGACACTAGTCTGTTGCGTGTCCAGAATGATCCACTTCAAGCCAATGACACTCATGTAGCGATTTTCTTCTCGTACTCATGGGATCTATCTTCAGTGTTAGATACAATATGAAAATCTATTGAAGTGAGTGAGTGAGTTACGATTTAACGTCACATCGGCAATACTGCAACCATATCGTGACGAGGATTTGAATAATAAATAAAGTTGTAATAACTAAAGTCAAATTAAAAAACCCTGTCAACGAAGGACAGTGAAATAACTAGAGGATCACAGAATAGATATAAAATTAGTATGAAAAGCTAAAAACGATAAACTGTAGAAGACAATACAATATAAAAGGTAGATCAATATACAAGGAACCATGGAAAAATCTATTGGAATCTGTGCTGGAATCACGTATTGGCGTCAGTGGAGATGTATTCCCGTAGTTAGCATCATTCCTTGCAGATCGACAACAATCTGTTATTATGAATGGTATTGTCCAAATAGTGCTATTAGTTTTAAATTTCCATGATAGTTTTAGTTGTAATTCTGATATTCTAGTTATTTTACTGTCCTTTGCAGACAGGTTTTTCATAATATACACATATTACATTTCAATGTCAAATATGTTGTCGTCACAACATGGCCGAAATATTGCCGATGGGACGTTAAATATTAAATCACTCACTCACTATCATAAATGAATTCTGTAAAGCTAGGTATGGAGTACTTTTCATTGTAGGCACCATCTCTGTAGGATACATTGCAAGGAAACACTGTCTCAGATTCCAGCTGACACCCAAACCATTGGTTCCACCTTCATTTGAGGTCACTTTTGACAGGATTAAAAAAATAATTGCAGATATTAGGAGATGAATAACAAGCAACCTTTTTCAAACTAAATGATGATAAAATCCAGTATCTTGTGATCTTGTCATCCCAAATGAAGCCAATACGGAAAAGACCCAACTTTGGTAATTGATGAAGTAACAATCGACCCAACCCCAAATGTTCAAAATCAGGGTGTGATTTTTACTCAACCTCCAGCATGGACAAGCATGTGAGCAGCGTCTGCAAAACTGCATACTATCATATCTGGAACATTCGAAATATGAACAAATATGTAGACGGGAATACCGTCAAATGTCTGATCATTTCTTTGTCCCATTAATAATAGACCACTGCAACCGACCTTAGTACGGAGCACAATATCAACACTGCAAGAGTAACACTTGAGCGAGTACAAAATTGTGCAGACAGACCCATCACCGGGACCAGGGTACAGGAGCACATAACACTTGTGCTGAAAGAACTACACTGGCTTCCAGTGGGACAAACGATAGTCTTCAAACTACTGACGTTTGTCCACAAGTCGCTCAAAATATCATCAGTCTAAATTTCATTTAGTAAAGGTTAAGGCATGATGCCCCTGCCTGGGCCATTTCAATGTTTGACTGAAATTCCAATTTGTCCAGATAAAAGTTTTAATGATGGACTCTCGATCCCAAACTCCAAACGGTAATATTCGTTTAGAGGCATTCGTCACCATCTTTAACACTGGTGCATTTATTATCAATATATTACTTTTGAAGTCACGATATTGCTGAAATAGTGCCGATGTGACTATAAATCTTAATTCACTCACTCACTTTACTACTGGTGAACATTTTGACAGATTCCTCATTTGTCACCTACTCAGTGTTATATTCAGAATTCCTCTTTTGGTACACCCATGAGATGAATAGAACATAATGCAGAAATAGACCGAAGAGCAACAACGTTTTTAAACCAATCTTACCGTTAAAAGAAAAATAAATATCTGCACTGCTACCGAATCGCGATCATTTGCTGCATTACATCAACTGGACAGTTGTATAGTTGTATGAGTAGCAACATTGCGGTACCATAAGACAGTATGTTCTTAACATATCATTAAACACTGCAATATATGATGTCTGAAAACAAGTCGATTTAACATCGCGAAAGAATAGTGTGAGAGCCTTGGAAAATGGAAACTCCACACATGACATTCATTTAAAAAGGTCATCAAATGGGTCTTTTCTAATTATTCATTAATACTCACTTCCATAGTACTGACATCCAGTTCAACTGTGCCGTCACTGATCGAGCCAAAGGCTTCAGTGTATACTCTGCACTTCCTTGTGAGTGGATTGTACAAGACTAGGTTACACAACTCCCGACGGTGACATAGAGGGAAACATTCAGCCCTCATGTCCACCTGGTTCATCTCTTCTATCAGGCTCTTGGTAAACACCAGATCATCCATCTCAGGCCTCCTATAGAATGCCATCTTCTTACAAGTGTCCGTATTGTTGAGTGACTGAGATAAAACTAATTGAAACTTGACTGCTAATAACAACATGTTAGCTGTTTGAAATACTATCATGGTGGTACTTGTTGAGGGAGAGCATTGTTTACTGATCAACACTAGTGTTAAACGAATGCTTTACCCAGTGAAACACATCTCCTGGCCTGTCATAGGCGGTTCTGTGAGATTAACAAAATATTTTAAAATGATAGCGAATAACCGTTATTGTTTCTTAATTGAATCACGTGCACTTATTCCAAGTCTAAAGGCATTAAATTAAATGTGCCATAAGCACTCTCTGTCTGAGAAAATAATTGAGCGTAGCACACTGGCGTGTCTTTACTTTACATCCTGTGTATAGGTACTCAACAGTCCACAGTCCATACACATGTCTTGTAGAAGCAGCGTCTTGTACACAACGTTCACAGCAACAGTCCACAGTCCACACACATGTCTTGTAGAAGCAGCATCTTGTAATAGAGTGTACATATACAATATCTACCTAAAGCATATCATTGCCTGGCCTGCCGTTGGTCCATATTGTACAGCATCAATAACAGGCGGGTGTTTTATAGAGCCCATTAGTAGCACTTTATCCGGAGTGAAATACCTTCCTTCTATAATCAAGCTATTAGCAAATGATCAAGCAGCATATCATTGAATGATTCGATGTTTATGTATCTCAAAGCAACATATTCCAATTACCATTAAGACCCTTAACTTCTGCCTGATGCAAATGTGTAACTCTTGAACATATTTGACAGCTGTTGTTTCTGTACACAAGATTATAACTATTGCCTCATTCGATCAATATGTTATCGAGTGCGCCCGCCACGAGAATCTTACCTGCAGCAGAGTGCATATGTGCCATAGTTCATGTTACTGTTTAACCATCAAACAATAATATATTTTAATCCTCATTAACGTCTCTAGATAAACTAACAGTGCTTTCACAAATGCGTGCTTCGTACTGGATATATAGAAAATATCTCCCAAGTGTCTACTGACATCAATTATATTAACAGGAGTTGATAAAGTTACATGTTTTTTAACTTTTAATAACGAGTGTTGGTATATTTGGTATGAGAGGACACTGGGGCGAGATTCTATTTAACATAAACAAATGACTCTTCATTAGTTTTGCCATTAGATTTGAAGCATTGTGACCTAGTCAAGTTTATGGTGTCATAGCATTGTGATTCATGCAATTGATGACGTCAAGGCATAGTAGAAACTCTACTGACAAAACGATATCACTCAGGATATGTTGTTCTGCCCCCCCCTCTCTCTCTCTCTCTCTCTCTCTCCCCCCCCCCCTCTCTCTCTCTCGCGCACACACACACACACACACATCTTCTACATATGTGTATTTGTTATTTCATCCCTATAACAATCAGGGATAAATGAGTTTCTGAGTACTGAAGACTAGGGTACTCAACACGCACTCGAAAACTTGGTATCGTGCACCAATGTGTTTCATCTCATGATGGCTGTGTACTTCCCCTGTAGTCGTGTTTACATAAAACTGTTTTGAGTCCTGAAATGTTTCCAGTCATGATACTAAGCATTTCCTTTCCAAATATACATACGTTGGAGTAAACGATTACACGTTCTTGGCTAGCCTCAGAAACCAAATATTATTTGGGCAATCAACTCAGTGGACATTGCCTGAATGGGCCACTGTAAGTCTGAATACAATATTATAAGGACAATCCACTCCTTGTACATTGCGTGAATGGGCCACTGTCAGTCTGACTAGCATCCATCTTATTTGGGAAATCCACTCCTTGAACATTGCGTAAATGGACCATTGTCAGTATGAGTAGCATCTTATTTGGGCAATCCACTCCTTGAACATTGCGTGAATGGGCCACTGTCAGTCTGACTACCATCTTCTTTGGGCAATCCACTCCTTGAACATTGCGTGAATGGGCCATTGTCAGTGTGACTAGCTTCTTATTTGGGCAATCTACTCCTTGAACATTGCGAGAATGGGCCACTGTCAGTCTGACTACCATCTTTTTTGGCCAATCCACGCCTTGTACATTGCGTGAATGGGCCACTGTCAGTCTGACTAGCATCGTATTTGGCAATCCAGTCCTTCAACATTGCGTTAATGGGCCATTGTCAGTCTGACTAGCATTCATCTTATTTTGGCAACCCACTCCTTGAACATTGCGTGAATGGGCCACGGTCAGTGTGACTACAATCTTATTTGGGCAATCCACTCCTTGAACATTGCGTGAATGGGCCACTGTCATTCTGACTACCATCTTATTTGGCCAATCCACTCCTTGAACATTGCGTGAGTGGGCCACTGTTAGTCTGACTAGCATCCATCTTATTAGGGCAATCCACTCCTTGAACATTTCGTGAATGGGCCATTGCCAGTCTGACAAGCATCTTATTTGGGCAATCCATTCTGTGAACATTGCGTGAATGGGCCATTGCCAGTCTGACTAGCATCTTATTTGGGCAATCCATTCTGTGAACATTGCCTGAATGGCCTATAGTCAGTGTGACTAGCATCTTATTTGGGCAATCCATTCCTTCAACATTGCGTGAATGGGTCACTGTCAGCCTGACTAGCATCTTATTTGGGCAATCCATTCTGTGAACATTGCCTGAATGGACCACTGTCAGTCTGTGACCACAACGTTGTAAACATGTCCTGTGCTACAGGTGACAACTGTCATTGAGACAGTTTCACTTGAAAGCAAGTATATTTAGCTCATCTTGGGTAAACGAGAAAGAAATCAGCGGCGACACTGAAAGAAAAGGTAAGTACCCGTCGTTCACACAATTTGCATGTGTGTGTGTTTGTTACTATAGGTCATACAGCAGTACCCTGGGGGAATGGCGGCCTGAAAACAAACCAGACAGTCAGGGATTGGAAAAGTAAATCCAGTAAAGCTATCAAATATTTGCTCACAAAATGTTCAATTTTCAACAATGAGGTGAGTAGTTTAGTGTAAGCACTCACAATGTCTTTTGTAGGGTCAATGTTGTATTAATGTCTGATTCAGCTTAATGGAGAAACGCCACAGAGGACTTAAATCCTCCAGCAGGAGACGCATCAACCCAAGTGAAGTTGAAATCATCAACGCCAGACAACAAGCACTATCGATTATCAAATCGAACAGAAACTTCTGTTTGAAAGTTACAGGACAAATGTTTAAAGCGGTTAGAACTTACTGTGTATGAATGGATCAATTAAAACCAGAGATGAAACTTGATCTCCCAAATCGATAAATGAAACAATGATCTCAATAAGGCATGCTATTGTAGACATGCTGGAGGGTAGTTAATGGGTGTGATGGTATTATGGGCCCACATTACGATTATGTTGCATCATGTTTCATGCTTTAGACGATACATGTATTGTCATACCATCAAGACAATGTGTTCCGGGTAATGATGGCGTGAATGTTATGCGTCACCTATGTTACAGGTTTTATAAGTGAGTTAATTAACAAAACCGATGCATTAGCTGTATTTTAATCTCTTAGTCAAGTCTCAAAATGAACAACGGACGCATTCGGGCGGTATTTATAGCTCATATTTTTAATGTTGGCAGTCTACAAGTCGACTTGATGTTTCTGCAAATACGCACAACGCCATGTGGACTGACATCCATGTCTTCAAATGACACTCAGACAGGACAGAATGATTCTGATTGGTCTGAGTTACCCCATGCCATAAAGGCCACACAAAAAACACCTGTTTGTTGAAAGAGGTGACTCTGAATTGAAATGTTAACCCATTTGACATAATAAGGGTAGCCTTGTGGATACAGCGTTCGCTGAAACCCGACTTCATTTCCCCATGTGTGTTTAATGTATGAAGCCTATTTCTACTGTCGCGGCCGTGATATTGCTGAAATATTCTCCAAAAACAAACCTGACTTGCTCTTATGATGGTTGGATATTTCTCATTGTTTTCCAACGATAGCTACTGAGAGATCTTCACTTTCCTCCTGATCGCGTTAACTAACATAAAACAAAGGGTTCCGTTAGGCATATGGGAAATTGATACATCTGCAAGTCTAGATGTCAAGGATCAATAATATAGTGGTAATTATTTATGTGGAATGTATTTGACTGCAGACACATTCATTATACACAACAATATCCTCCAGATTACCTGATGACAGCTCAATATTCACAGCTGAAACAGCTCTTAGAAATATTAATAGACATCCTAAATATAAACAATATATACTCTTTTCCGACTCTTGTCTTGCCTCTAGGCTCTTAAAAATCTTTCTTGTAAACATCCACTTTTAATTGAGATTTTTTAGCTATATAATGATCTTGCTACTGGCCAATAAGACATCGTCCTGTGTTGGTTACCCAGCCACGTTGGCATTTCTGGGAAAACAATGGCGGCACTCAATGAATCTGTGGCACCACTTCTTATCCCATACTCTGATTACAAAGCTAGCATTAGAACCTACATCCGTGATCTGATGCAGAAGAAGTGGGACACCCAAGTAGGTATCAATAAATTACATGAAATAAAACCTTATATTGCTTACACCTACTTGGGTTGTCAGTCCAGATTTGAGGAGGTGATCATGCGGCGATGTGGCATTGGCCATACGCGTTATACTCACAAATGTCTGTTAAACGGTGAAGATTTTCCGTTTTGTATCCCTTGTGATGAGAGAATAAAAGTCAAACATCTCCTGCTTGACAGTGTTGAATTCTCCATCATAAGGGATAAATATTTCAATGTTAAAACTGTTCAGGATCTTTTTAATATTGTCCATTTTCCTTTAATTCTTGTTGTTTTTATACGAACTTGATTTACTTAATGCATTTTGATTAATATGTTCTGTAGATAGATGTATTTTAATAATATGTAGTTTAGATTAGAAACTTAGATTTTCAGGGGCTGTACGTTTTTGGGGGTTTAAGGACTATAAAATTATTGTCCTCCCGAGAGGATATGTAAGTCCCAAAATATTCAAAGTAAATTAA